TTACAAATGATAGCTTAGATTTGTCAAATTAATTTTTCAATTTCTAAATTAAATTAAATTAATTAATTCTCCATTAATTTTAAATTAATTAATTTTCCATTAATTTGTTAAATTAATTTTCTGGTATAAATTATCAGTGCAAAACAGAAAAGTTAAATTTAATGGTTATTAACCTAAACAAATTATCATTGTTTAGATAAAAGGCAAAAATCGGAATTTAAAAAATGGTATTCAACTATTTTGCCGTAATGAAGCGTATCGGTTAGAATTGTTAAAGAATGAAATGAATATGAATTTAAACAGAAGCGGAAATTTTTCAGTTCAATTAAAATTTACAATAATTTAGTTGGAATATTTATAAATGATTCAAAATTAATTTAGTAATCAATCCTAATTAAATTAAGGCTTCGACTTTATTAAAAAAAAAAAAAAAAACAAGAGATAAGCAATTTTTGTAAATGCAAATAAATTTAAGCTTAATTGCTGAATAAGAATTATGATATGATACCGACTAATTATAAAATTTAATTTATGCAACAAATAAGTAATTAATCTTGTATAGTGCAGCAAATAAAGCAGAAACTATTGATAACAGATATACCGAAAATATTGCCAACAAATTTTTTATCTAATGAAATTACAAAAACACCAATTGTTGCTACTGCAACTGAAATTAACTAAAAATACAAATATTCAACTAATTAATATTTCATTTCTGATACATTCCTGATCCAAAATTAAGTATTTCAACAATTTTAATTTAGATTAATAAGACGTATGCTAAGATTGGATCCATTCATTTTATATAATATCCAATTATTTTTTACTAAATACTTCAAGAAAAAAGTACTGCTACTGTTTGCTACTAATGAGATTAATTGATAATATAAATACTCCTTATTAATTAATATTTCATTTATTGATTTATAAAGTTCCATCGCTTAATTGTAATTTTAATAGATGTATATATTATAATTCATTTGCAATCATTGATAAATTATTATCATTGTTAAAGATTGAAAAAGAAAAAAAAAGGAATGATACTTGAAATGGAATGAATTTTATCATTGAGGATAAACCATCCAAAAATTATCACCATTACAGTATTTGAAATCATTATTGATGATGTTACACTAGTTGAAATATGCTCTAATAATTATGAATATGAATAATTAACGATAAGTTAGAATATTAGAAATAAGATTGTTCGTTGTATGATATGATCGTATCCGATTATTTGTTCTACCGTATACCAATAATGTTTTTTTTTTCTGAAAACATTTAACATTTATGTATAAATGTGATTGATACTTTTTGAATAATAAAATACATCTAATGTCTGATATTTTTATAAGAAAAAATATTTCATTTCATTCCTTCTTTTATCCTTTTATTTTCCACAAATTTTGACAATATTCGATCAATAATATATTGTTACATTTGACATTAGTATTGTCAAATGTTTGAAATTTTTGAAAAAAAAAGACAATAAAGTCAAACTTACTTAAAAAAGAAAAAAAATTAAACCTAAGTTAGAGAATTAAACTTACTGTTATATATCAGTATTAGAGTTAAAAAATTAAACTTACTTAAAAAAGAAAAAATTAAACTTAAGAAATTAAACTTACTGTTATATATCAGTATTAGAGTTAAAAAATTAAACTTACTGTTATACATCAGTTAAAGTTAAGAAATTAAACTTACTGCTGCATATCAATTAAAGTTAAGGGATTAAACTTACTGTTGTATATCAGTTAAAGTTAAAGGATTAAACTTATTGTTGTACATCAGTTAAAGTTAAGAGATTAAACTTATTGTTGTATATCAGTTTAGGTTAAAGAAGATGAACGATGAAATAATATGGTAAATATTATATAAATTGGATAACATGCCATCATAAAATTAGTATTAAACCAAACCAT